GCCTTTGGTATTGCAGGCAATGGGCGCAGCAGGTGCCACGCCTACGCAACGTGCATATAGGAAAGTGTAGACATAGATGCACAGAGCAAGGCAATGGCCAGTTCATTGTTGAAGTTTTGTTTTCTGTTGATTTATCTCAGCTGCTTGGTAAAAGCAAGTTTGTTGCTTAAGTCTTCTGTCTGGCTTATATTGACGTGTTTTTCTTTTAAGAATATGGCCCGCTGCAGGTTCGTTGTCTAAGTCTTTTGTTTATTTATCAAAGAATGTTGGCTGAGAGCAAGTTAGCAGAGAACAGCTTATTTTCTTTATTTGTTTAAGTAAAGTAGCATGAGCAAGTTCGTTGCCTAAGTCTTTTGTTTATTAAGCGCAAACTTTAACATTTCTCGTTTTGGCAAAAGAAAGCCTTTTTTATATCCAAATTTAGCCATAAATGTAAATGAAGTCCAAGCCAATTGGCATCTTATAAAACAATCAAAATACAAAAAAAAACTTGAAGAGAACCGGTTCAAAAATAATTTTCCGACAGCGAAATGTATTCATTGATTAACATTCAAACGTCACACACACATAATATACATATGTATGTCGTCTACCTGTGTTGCAGCTTCCTCAAGCGCAAAGGTGAACGTTACACGACGGTTGCCACGCTCGCCCGTTTGGCAACGTCTGGGATTTTCGCCGCCTTTGTGCAATTTTGCGTGCGCCTCAAATGTCGCTGAGTGCCGCGGGACAAATACCTGGCATGGCCAGGGCCAAGAAGGAACTTGACCAACCGAAATCAAGATAAATTGTGGGTTCGGGCTCGCTGCCATATGCGTGTGTGAGTGTGTGCTTATGGTTATGCGCGGCAACAACTTTCGTTGTGCCGAATTTCATTGTACAATTTCGGAGAGACAGAGGAATGGAGGGGCTGCCGCGGTCTCAGCTGTCCCCAGCGTGCATGGGAAAGGGAAAGTTGTAGTTGTATGCATGCAGTTATTGATACGATTCGGATTCCCATTCCGATTCCGATTCCGTGTGCACAGCATCGACTCTAATTGAATGAAAAGGGTGGAGAAACGTTTAACTTAATTGGAGCTGTGTGCAGACGCATAAACAAAAACTCTCTCGCTTGTTGGCTGATATCATCATTGGCATGAAATTTCAATTTCCATTACATTCAATAAAACAAAATACGGGCAGTTAAGAGAGCTGCTCCCGTTGGAAAAGTAAAATTGGTTATATAGATAAAACTATGGAATGGAATAAAGGGAGAGAGAGGAAAAAACATAAAGAGGGAAAGACAGAAAGAGAGAGAGACAGTAAGTGAAATAATGTATCAAAAAGAATGTTCAACGAGCTTGATTATAGACTCTGAAATAAAAGATATACAAGAAGAAATACCCTAGACTGGAGACAGCCCAGCTATGATATATATATTTATATTTTCTCAAATCTTTATTGAAATTCTTCAACAAAAGTCTTCAAGTTTGAAATTTTTAATAATAATTTAGCATAGCCTACGATCGCGTGTCTGCGACTTGGCTCACAAAGTGGCTTACTGCATTCAAAGATGTCCAGCTGCTATCGCCTATAGCCAGCTGTCATTAATCTTTATATTTCAGTTGCGAAGATAGCGCACCTGTTCGGCTATATACGTAAAAAACTTTAATTAATTGCGTCAACATGCCATGCATCGTGATGGCCCACCAAGAATGCAGCAGCACCGCCGGCACCACCAACAACCATCAGCAACAAATGAAACCTGCCGATTGACCTAATAAAAAGCAGCGCCATAAATTCGTGAAGCGTTGCGGCAGATTTGAAAATCGCGGCATCTTTACTCAGAGTATATATATATATATATATATATATATATATATATATATATATATATATATATATATATATATATATACAGGCCCTGGCTAAGAAACTTTTTTTTTGTTAACTCTGTACGTCTCTGTCTCTCCTTCCTCTCGCTCTTTCTAGCTGTCGTTCACTTGCCGCAAGTAGGCCATGTAACCGAAAAATGTGCCAAAAAATGCAGAGAGAAGAGAAAAATGTGTGGAATAAGCGCAGCTAATCTGAAAATTTAAGCAGAGAGAAAGAGATTGCGAGAGGGAGGGACAGAGAGAGCGAGCAAGCACTTGAATAAAATATGTGTTAAATGCAACAGGTTATTGTTGTCAATGTGACTCTCATCAAGCGAATCAAATTAAAGCCCATGATGAATTGCACTCATACAGCCGGCTAACTGTTTGATTTTCTTTGTAGATTTTTGGTACATACACAGACACCTGCACCTGCACAAGCACAGACACAAACACAAGCACAAATTCGAACTCATCACGCTTTCTAATGTCGTTACCTTGATGATGTTGCTCTTGTTGTAGTTGCTGTTGTTGTTGTTGTTATTGTTGTTTTAGCTGTCGATTGCCTCGCTTCGTCGAACGACACTTTTCCAATGCACACACAAAACGAATTTCAATTCTTTGGCGCTTACCATTCGAAAGCCCCAAGTGCCGTTATTACCGTTGCCTAGCATCGCCATGGCCCAAGCTATGGCCGCTACTCAAGAATCTCAATTGACTGCCGACGCTTGAAGAATATTATTATTTTTTTTTTGTTTCTTAATTAAGCTGCTGTAAAATTATTTTCACTTCACCTAATTTTAGTTGTTGTTTTTTCTTCTTCTGCAAGCCACGAGGAATGCAGCTTCAGTTTGAGCTTGAAAATGGAATATTTTTTACTTTATGAATACCCTTTAAAAATAGATAATACAAGTTTTTGATTTGGGATTAACTATTTTAATAAATATATTAATTATTACAATTAAGCTACCTTGGGATATTCTATAAGAATTTGGCATCTAAAAGAATTTTCTGTAAAGGTCTTTAGCTTAAGAAACGTGTTCTAAATAAGTTGTGAAACTTAATTATTATACTATATTATATATATAGTTTATTATATTCGTATATAGCTAATTATAACTAGATAATTATCTAGCTAGATCTTCGTCAGAATGTAGCGGTTCATTCCATGTTTATGCAAATCTATTGTGCTGCGCTGCACACTCAATGAATGGACTTCAACTCTTATGTTAATGAAGCTTATTAGCTGCATGAAAGATTTGCTTTGAAAATGCCAACATATTTGATTTAAATGGCCCAGTAAACAGTAAAGCAGTTGGCTTTAATTGATTCAACGGGCAGGCACTCACTGAGACTCGTGTATGGTGGTTGCTCGTGTGGTTGAGCATGTGGTGCAGCAGCGCCTTAACGGCGCAGCGAGTGTTAATTTATAATTGAAAGAGAAAAAACAACTGGATAGTGCTATTTTAATGCCCTTTCTTCAATAATGCTTGGGAACGTAGCCTTCTATGGCCAACTAATTGTGAAGCGCCTTAAAAGAGAAGGTGCAGCAGAACGTTATTGCTTTCTATGCTTTCAACTATGCGATTGCATAACTATCCCATTGTCTCTATTTGATTTGATTTGATTTGCCTTGCATACTAATCAACTATTATTTAATTACTTGCGTATTCAGCTATTGACGCATGTCACATTATACTATCAAACTGCATAAAAAGAAAGACTTGCATATTTATTAATATAGATAAAGTCTTTAATTACGTCTGTAATTCACGCACGTCACGCACTTTGTCAGAGGTAAAGCCCAGTGCGACGAATCCGGCATAAATTAATCATATATTACGCAAGTGTAAAAGATATGTATACATGTATATAGTGACGCATCGAATGACACACATGAAAACCATATATATATATACCACATATATACATATAATATCTTCATTTTTGTGTGTCACGCCTAGGCAGGCGCCAAATCAACTTCAAAAATGTCAGATCATAGTTTTTAGGTCAGGCCCGTATTTTATTTTTAAACCCAAATTAGCATAGCTTTCAGTTTGGCAAAGACAATCAGTCGGCTACTGCGGGTGCCCTACCTGGGCAGTCAGTCAGACATCTACACCTGCGTGTCGCTCAAGTACTCGTCGCTCGCACCTGAATAGGCATGTGAGCATCTTGTTATCTGCTTTATGTAGCTATTCATTCTTAGTAACGCCCAATAAATTATGCACCAAACATGAGCTTTCTAAAAAGAAAAGATCTACACATTGGAACCAATGTGTGCGTGTGTGTGTATGTGTATGAGCATGCTAGGTTCGCAGCACGCGGCAAGCACTTGGCTAGGCTAATGGCATGGAATTTAATGCAGTTTGTGAAGCATTGAAGAAAGTTAAAAAATAAAATCTGACTTTAATTAAGATAAAATATTTAGAAAATTGAAATTCCGCTAGAAAGTGCATGGAAAAATGTAAGAGGCTTTAACAATTATTAGAATAAACATAAAAGAAATTCAATAGAAATTTTAGTATATCCATGAAAGGAAATGAAGTGAAAAGGGTTGCCATAACAGATATAAGAAAGTTGCATTAGCGTGATAGATGCTCAAATATCATTTCAATGGACCTTAAAAGCTAGAGTTTTGCATTACAAAATGAGGTCTTATTTGCTAGACATAAACAGATATATATGTATGTATAGGTAATAATATATATACTGAAATCCACCAGAAATTTAAGAACTGATCTCTATAGTTTGTTATCAACTTGAAGCTCTTCTTAATATGACGAATAGGAATCTGATTACCAAGCAAACTAATTAGTATTTATTAAAAATAATTTCTTTTAATCATCAATTATCATCAAGATAATAAATTTGTTTCAAAATCGAAGACAAACACACCTCCAACAAATTCTCTCTCTCTCTCAATATGTATATATATATATGTATCTATATAAATATATATGTGCCATTTGCCAACGTCTTAGCCATTTATCTGCCAGTCGTACATTGTCTACTCTCAAGTTTTCTCACCTTTCAGCTTATTGACTGCAAGAAGCCCCAACATTGTCTACGGCAAACATACAAAATTCGCATGTGAAATTCCTCTGAAGACACCCTTGTGGCGACTATAAAGACTTCTTGACTTACCCGCTGTGCGAACGTGGAATAGCAACAGCAGCGACAGCAGCAGCAGAGAAATGGACAGCAGCTTCGCTGACAAGTGCCACATGTGTCGCTGTCTTGGTATTCTGTGCTGCCTGTTGTTCTCCTTCCTCGCTTCGTCTTCGTTGTTGTTGTCATGTCTGCTGGCCTGCTCAGTTTGTGTTAAGTTCTGCGGCTTTCGTCGCATTTTTGCATAAATTGTTTTTTTTTTTTTGGTTTTGCGGCAATAAAAGAAAGCCTCACTTTATTCTAAGCTGTTGTCTAGAATTGTTAATTTCGGTATATTTTTATTTTTTGTTGTATTTTTTGTCAGTTTTTATTGTGAGGCTGGTTCGAGCTTTGGCGTGGCATCTTCCTTTTCTTGCCTTTCTTCTGCTTCTTTTTGGTAGTAGATTTACATATTAAGCGCTGCAAAAAAAAAAAGAAAGACGTTTTGTTAGCTTTGGACAGTTGATAAATTTCATACAAAGCGTTACTGCGCAAGTCTGCGGCTTAAGTCTTTTGTTTGACACTCGCCGTGAGTCGTGAGAACAGGCCACAAATAAGACATCTATGCGTCTAATGGGGAGCACTGTCCATTTAAGTGGCTTGCCAGAAAAAGACATTACGTCAGACAGGGGCCAAAAGGCTGCACAATTACGCTAATAAATCAGAGCATGCCACATAATTGCCCAAGAAATAAACAGATAAAAGGCAAGACCACTTGCCCCGCGGCTTTCTAAGCCAAATTTACATAACCGCGTGTCAGCGATAGCAGGTGATGCCCGTGATACTCGCTGCTTGTAAACAGTTTATTACAACGCACTGATTGAAATGCTAATTTTGATTGATGTAAAAATGAAAAAAAAAAAAACAAAATCAAAGAGCGAAAGTTTAAGCACAATTTTTTAAGAGGTGTCAAAAGGAAAAGTGAAACTCAAACTCGCACCAAAATACCCAAAGTCGATAAATCAAACACAAAATATATTAGCAAATCAGAATGGAAACAGGGCTTAAGCTGGTATTACCCAATAAGTGTAGCAACAACAACAATGGAAACGAATACGTGACGCCCTACAATTGTCGATTAGCGTCTAATCAGAAGTGAGGCAAACGATCGTTAAAACGACCACAAAAACCAAAAACAATTGCGAGGCAGCCTTAGCTGAAAGTGAAAGCACGCGCAGAGAAAGAGAGATGGAGAGTGAGAGAGGCGGAGACACTGCGCATTGTAGAGTAAAGGTTGCTCTGTGAGTCGCGACGACTTAAAACTCGATTACGCTTACCGACAGCAAAAGCGAAAAAAGCGAAAACAAAAAAAAACGTTTGACTTCGACTTTTAACTGAACTCAGATCCAAAATCGAAATAAGCAAGAGTGTAATGAATGCCCGACTAGAGTATACCCTGCATGCAGTGCAGTTCAGCAAAATAAGTTTTGATTTCATTATTATTATCATCAATACGATCGTCAGTTATCTTTCATATGTATCATAATCATAATGGTCTTTTTTTTATATCAATATCATATTCAGTGTCATTATAATTATTATTATTTTAAATTATAATTATATTTATTATTTTTGCACTATACTGCAAAAGAAGGTTCAGTGAGCTTTGTTTTTATGCAGCATCACGAAGCAACAACATTGAGCTAAAAATCATGTATTAGAAGATAAAAACTCAATCAGGGAATGTTAAGTTATGTAAACATTATCTGATTATCTACTGCACCTTTTCTTGTTACATTTATTAGCTAGAAAACAATATTCCCCTTTTACACATATGCAAAGGGTTTAAGTCATTAAAAGCCAAAGTTGTGGCAGCCGCCAAGTTGAGTCATGGCAAATCATCGACTGCACATGCTCTTTTTGTCGTTGATGTTGTTGTTGTTGTGGTTGTTAAACATTTTTGAGTGCAGGAAGTTGGGAAGCTTTTTTCCATACGACGAACCTTGAAATTTTCGGCTGCTCCAAGTGAAATAGAAAGTTTTACTTTTATAACAACGAGAGCAGACACAAACACACAACAGCAACAATCAAAACAAACAATGACGACAGCAGGCAAAGGCGTTGCTGTTGCTTTTGCTGTTGCTATTGCTGTCATTAAACGACTCCATTTTGTTTCCAGTGAGCGATTGCCAAACTGACAACAGTTGTTGTAGCTGCCCACGCGGGCGCCCGTCAACATGAGCAGCGCATGCTTAAATTCCCTGTGAGCTGTTTATGAAGTTGGCTTTTGTGGCGTCTCGATATGCGGCTTAAGTCTTAAACGGAAGTGTTGCATTGGACTCATAATTAGTTGGCTGCCATCCAAGTTAAATGACTCATGCGATTTTTTGGACGTTGTTGCGTAACTTAAGCTGAGCCTCGGATATTGCATGCGAAGAAGAAGATGATGAAGCTTTTGATATATGGACGAAACACGCATCCGAAGGCAACTGCGATAAGCACAAAGACAAAAACTGGAATTGCATAAGACCGAATAAATTCCATGTATTCGGCTGGAATGATTCCAATCAGATTAACTTTTCTAATATGACCTTGGCTTATGAGCCTATTTATATATATACATAAATATGTATACTATATTTATACTTTCAACTTTCCACAATATCCATTCTTTAAGCTTACCTCAAATATCAATCATTAGTCCAAATGCATTAGCAGTTTTTGTTTGACGGATTTACGTTTCTTATAATTTGTATAACTTTTTTTGATGTCTTGTCTATTGGACGTTATTTTCAATTACATTTCGCGCACACAAAAAGTTTCACCAAAAAATAACAAAAAACTGCAAATAAACAGGCAACCAAATTGAAATTTCTATAAACATAATAGCCGATACAGTGAATGACAGAGAGACTGAGAGAGCCAGAGCGGGAGACCGGAGCGGGAGACACGGACATTGGAAGGCCAGATGAAGCACGTTTGACAGCCAACGGCAGAGACGGATGCGATAAATGTGGTTTTGCGGCTTCAAGGAATGCAGCAAAAGCTTTAAAAAATTATCGAAAAACAAAATCTAAGATAGTCATAGAGAGTGTGTGAGAGAGAGGGATAGAGAGAGACAGAGATGCAAATGTTAATGGGTAAAGCAGCTGCCAGTGTTGTAAAGAAGGAAAAAAATTGGCACAAAAGCGCAACGTCGCCAAAATGGAACAACTAACTGTACATAGCTGGGGCTGGAACAGCAGCTGGAATTGGAAGTGGAATTGGAAGTGGAATTGGTGCTGAGGCAATTTAGTGCTCGATCCCATTGAAAATAGCCAACATGTGTAGGCCGTGCCAACCGGCATAAACTGGTCAATTGAGTAAAAGACAGGTTACAGACGTTTTTGCTTAGTAAATGAGCTGGCTGGAAGCGAACTGGATGTTTATTTCAAAAGACAACGCACGTCGGGCATCCGGCTTGGCAAACGAACAACAAAGTTGCAGGCTAATTAGTAGCTTTGGCGTCTGCCCTTGCAGTTAGGTTATTATATGTAATCAACGTTTTTTTATTATTTATTTTTGTTAGGCTTTCGGCTGCAGCGGCATTTATTTTAATTAACAGTGAAAAGATGTGCACGAAAACAAATTAAAAATATGCTTGCAACAAATTTCACAGCGCGAAAACCACGTAATTTGCAACAACAACAATAATAACAAAGACGCAGTTTAAGATGGTGGCAAAAGGTAGCGCAAAAAAGAAAGTTTTGTTTTTTGTCTGCTTATTGTTGTTATTGCCGTATTTTTGCTTTTCTACACACACACAAGCACATAGACAACGCGGCGCTCAAATATCATTCATTCGAATTCCGTTTACATTTCGCCTTTTGCGGCTGCTTCTTCTTTCAATTTTTAATTTATATGGCAACGTCAACGGCAACGGCAAAAGCAGCTCGTTTTAGTTATTCACTTTTCTAAGATTAACACACACATAAGCACATATACACGCACACACTTACACGATGTGTTTAATTTATTTTTCTGTTCACCGTCAACAGGTGCTCCACGCACAGCGGCTCAACGAAAACTGAATGCCGATTGTGCTGCGAGCACTGAGCATGGACTGTGGTGAGTTTCTTTAGTTTCTTTGAGTGAGTTTCCTAAGCCGCTGTGGTAAGTTGAGCGCCTGCTGCCATTGACTCTCACCGCAACGACAACAACAATTGAAAGTGCCAACTTATCGAATATATCCAATTGAGCGGCTGCACTTGCAAGTATTACTAGCCAAATAACTGCAAAAGGCACAATGCAGTACACTGTAATTGTAGGTAACTGCCAATAGATTGGTCTAAACAGCACATTAGCCACTAATCGCCGCAGTTGCAGATTGCCATTTGCCAATTTCCATTTGCCCAAACGCCGCTAACAAGCCGTCGACTTGAATTGGTCAATGTTCTCTACGCCCATCTGCCTTATAGTTGAGTGTTGGAGAGAGGGTGCAAGGGACACAGCTAAATTCCAATCAGCAACGTACTCAACAATTACCGCGCAAATTGCAAACGCACGAGATCAAGATTAGGCGTGCACAAAGACAAAGGCCGCTAAGCAATTGAAAATGAAAAGTGGAAACAAGGAATTGGAAGTTATTGAGCTTATCCGAAACCTTCGATGCGCTCCACCATAAATAACAACAATAATGAAAATCCATATGTACAATTTGCATTCGTCCAAACGTTCAACTATTACGCTTTCGAATGCTTGAGTTTTACCCATGGCTTTAAGCATTGCTCCAGGGTGCCAAATTGCTTTTTATAGTCTTTTCTTTTCATTTACATTATATGATTTTAATTCCTTTTAAATATATGTTTATGACATATAAATAAGTTGAAATATTGCATAATTTTAAATACACACACATACAGTTATAACAGAATTTTTAATTCATTGAAGTGCTGCGAACAGAATTGTACAGCTACATATGTATGCATTGTATTTGTGTGTGTGTGTGTGGAAGGGCTGCTTGAAGTTGACCTGTCCTTTGCTGTTTATAGTTACTGTTTGTTCGCTTGCACCCTTTTTATTTTGTTTTTACTCATTTTACTTCTTCCAATGCCACTCGTGTGTGGGACACCAACACACAAACATATCATATTTTGTGTAATGATTCGCCAAAAATAACAATAAGAAGAGAAATAGGCAACTTTCCAGCTGAAAAGGCAACTGTAAATATACCTACAATAATTACAATAATGTGTGCAAATAAAGGACAAATAGGCAAACACGAAATTTGTGTCGCCTACTCTAATTATTAGAGGAAATTAAAGAAAAAGATTATTATGTACAGACAAATTAAGACACTATAAAATAATACCTTTCTAAAAATGTTAGGAATATATGTTCTTCTTTTGACTTGCGAATAGAGTTAGCAAATTGTTAGTCCCTAAATATACCCTACTCTTGCTTTCATAGTCGAACCCTGAAATTGTTCGTTTTCCATTTCTATGGTGGCCTCTCTGCTGCCGCCGTCACCGTCATCTAAACATGCCGCCTTTATTACACGAGTTGCAATTGCTTTTGCGGCTTACCACGAGTATACGATTGCATTTGCACCCACCACAAAAGGAGTGGGAGGAGCATTAGCAGCAGCTCCAACCTGAGCATGAAATACAAGAGGAGCCGATCACGAATCTTGCTGGCGGTATTTCGTTTTTCATGTCACCTCATTTGGCAGCCAAGCAAAAAGAAAAATAAAATATCAAAAGAGAAAAAACAACAAGTGATAAGAAGAAGACAATCGAAATCGAAGACAGAAAACCCATTGGCCATGACCAGTGAAATTTCTGTGCACTTATCTCCACAGTATTTACCTGTTTTTATATCATTTTACTTTATTTTCATTGTTGTTTGTTTGCCACCTGTTAACAGGGAACCCCTCACAACTGACCATAATTGAGCACATCGGTGGCTTTAATAGTTCTTAGCTTCTTAGGTATTAATGTCAAATTGAAAGATGATAAAACGGTACTTGAGGGATTCATTGAGCGTTTGATTTCATTTTGCGGTCAGTGGGCCTTTTGTTAGTGTTATCTTCTCATAATTTATTTAATATATTTTTGAGTACAAAGATTTGTGTAGCGAAACTAAAACTGAAGCAATGGTTAAACACAAAACGGCGATTGCCGAAAAAAACAATATCTATAAGTTGATTGCAAAGTAGAAAATTAACTTAATGTAAAAAGAAAACATTATTCTTTCTTGATGCCTAGTATTTGGGCAACTCAGAGTAGCGCGGAGGCGTTGACCAGAACACGCTTGAGTTGCGCTTCAAGTGACTTGGATCAATGTTGGGGAAGATCTTCTTCAGATCTGGAGTTTGTGGCGCCACCGAGAAGAAGCTATCAATAATGTCTGTGGGGCAAAAGGTTTGCAATATCATCCCTGCGCCCCGCACGTGAGCTAGAAGATATAAGCATTAGTATTTGATGTAATAATATCATGTATAGTGGCTTACAGCGACTCCAGGTAGGCACCGGTGGTCTTTTGTAGGAGACCTTGCCCTCATCATCGGTGGAATCATCCTCGTGTAGCATTTCGAACGTGTATTTGGATTTCGGTGGTGGTGGCATCATTTTTTTTGACTTGGCTGACTGCATTTGCTGTTGCAGCTTCATTTGTTGCAGCAGCTCGCGTTCCTGTTCCTTGGCCTTCGCCTTCTTTAACCGTTCGATTTCCTCTTGTTGGCACAACTTGCGTTGTAGTTCTTCCATTTCCAGACGTTTGCGTTCCTCCAGCTTTTCCTTCTCCTGCTGTTTTTTTAGACGTTTCTCCTCTCGCTCTTTGGCTAGCTTAGCCATACGCTCAGCCCGCTCACGCTCCTTAGCTTCGCGCAACTGCGCTGCCTGCAGATGCTTCTGTTCCCGCTGCTTCTTACGCTCCTCGGCCAGCTGATGCAGTCCCTTGCGAAAATCATCCCCACTGTTCTCACGTGTTAAGGTCTTACTAGAACCAGAATTGGTGGATTTAAGATTTGTGCCTGTCGCTGTTTTCGTTAAGGTCGTGGCCTTGCATGCGCTCATGGGTGCCTTTTTGGACTGCGCTGAGTTCCCAAGCATTGCGCTTGAGCTTTGTGTAGGCGTCAGAAAACGTCCAAGCGTTGGGGCCGGTAACTTGCCAATGACCGGAGTTGTGCTTGAACCCTGTACACCCTGGCAAAGCGGAAACAATGAGTATTATAAATGTGTATAGAAATTATCTAGTGAACAAACGTACAGCTTCCTTAATGCGTCTGGAGCGAAGATTATTTTGAGCTTGAGCTGCATTTTCAAAGGCCTCCACGCGCATTTTCACGGGGCTCTGCATCAAAGGACTGAAGAAAAGATTTGTGTATCAAGAACTTGTACAGTAATCACTACCTATAACTTACTTGAACAGCTCGTGCGTGCGCGCTGGCAGCTTGATGCCCTTTATTGATTTGGGTATTGGTTGCTCATGAATTTTTTGGTTGGCTGGTGCATGGAGCGACTCGTCCTCGGTCAACAAGCTATTATCCTGTGCCTCTTCGGGCAAACTGCTCTCCTCGCGCGCCGTCTTCATCGAGCTCTCCTTTTCGGATTCGACTTGGAATGTGGCATTGCCTGCCATATTGTCACTCAGACACATTGTGGCATTCGATGTGGGCACATTGATATTGAATGTGGCATTGGGCAAGCTAACAGTTTCATTCATTACAACAGCTACTGTTGCAGTGGGCACATCTTCCACAGCATCTTCGTAGATGGAAGATTGAGGCGGATCAGATGTTTGCGACTCCTGCAAGTTGCGTGCGGCATTGCTACCACATCGTGTACGCGATGCAATTGGTAGATTCTTATCCAGATCGCTAAGACGTTCCACTTTAATGGGCTTGTGGGTTTCCTTCTTTTTGCGTGCTTTCTTTGAGGTTGTTGTGCTGTTGGCTGTTGTTGAAAGTATGGTTGTTTCGTTTGTGACAGTTTTTGTGGATTCAAGTGTAGCTGTTGTTGTTGCTGTGCTGTCGTTGCTAATTTTCTCACGCTTGACCTTCACACGCAAATTTGTGGTGCAAAGCTCGTTCTCCTTCGCCTTTGACCCGACTGCCTCGACTGCAGATGGATTGGCAGCCACAGCTTCTTCTGTGGTAGTGTTTAATGATTTTAAATTATGCATTTGTGATGTACGTTGCTCACTCTCTAGCTTAATCTTGACCGTATCCTCTGTGCTGGGTTGACGAAGTTTTACAACTAATGACGGCTCCTTGAGATTCTTCTCCGACCGCAACTTGGCAGCACGTTGCGGGCGTCCACTGCTCAAGCTGGTTTCAGCTGCCGATGTTACAGGCGCTGGCGGCGGTGGCATTAGCGATCCTGTGGTATTTACCACCTCTTCATTCTCTTCTTCGTCGGCTGCAGCCAGTAGCTGGGCATTACTTAAGCGGGCGCTCTGCCGCTGTGGGAGCACGCTCTCTGTAATTGATAACACATCTGCGGGTGCGATTTAGAATATACATCATCAAAAAGTCTCATAATAATTTCACAATTTACCGTCCCCATCATCCTCGGCTAAAGATGTCAAACGCTTGGCTCGCTTCTTTGTCTGCTGCGGAGTGATAGAGCTGTTGCTGCTGCTATTGTTGGGCAATGCGGCTGGGGCAACTTCAGAGATTTTCACCTCAGCTATGGCAGCAGTGATACCAAAGAACAACTGGTCCAACTCCTCGAAATGGGTCTAGAGAGAAAAGGGAATTAAATATGTAGCTACTCAATGCAACTGTAAAAATAACTTTGTATACCTTGCGTATTGCATCCATTTCTATATGGAGTTTGGACACAGCTTGCATTACGTCCAGTAAGTCGTCCATTTTGCTTACACACTTATAACAAATAATGTAATAATTAATAAACTTGTATAAAACTTGTACTCTGCTTTCCGTTTATTTCAAATGGCGGCAATGAGAAGCGCGTCGCCCTACATCACAAGCGAGATACGACATGAAAAAATATCGATATGAAATATATAACAACTATCGATTGCTGCAAGGTGGCAACTCCGCGATGCAATGGCGATATTAGCAAGCACTGTATCCAGCTGTTTTCCCGCGCAAATAAATATTTTTTTATAATTTGTTTACTATTTTTAGCTTATTTAATATTAAAATTGTGCTTGCAATGTTAATTATTTGTTTTTATTTAATAAATTGACATGTGGATACCGGCAGTTTTGTTTATAGCAAATGTGCTCGTTGCAGCTGCTCTTGCTTGCAGTGTTGTAGATCGTTAAATGATAGAAAATGCCATGGCTGCTTTATGAACTGCAAGGAAGCCCACGCAACTAAGTAAAACGAGTAAGTTAGATTACATCTATGTACATTATGTTAATTGCGCAATTTAGGGGATATTTTTGCATACGATGTGCATATATCGAGTATATCGAATAGTATGTGCAGTGTTGTTAGCAAACTAGCAGGCATGCTGGCCGAACCGGTGCTGCAAAATACTCAAATACATTGTTAAAATTCGCCAGAAATTCGCAAGCCAGCGAAAATTTAGTAATAACAAGGGTAAACAAGCGATTCGCGCGCGCGTTGCGTTAACAAACAAGTAAGATGTATATATGAGATACCGCACGCCGTACACAGACACCACTTGTCACCAGGAATAACACCAATATAAATACAACACGCAGCAGCAGCAGCAGCAGCAGCAATGGGACTCGACTTTGATGTCGTGGAGTACTGCAAAGGTGTGAAATCAAAACAGTCCCAGCCGCCGTTCGGCTGTCCGGTGCGCGACTGTGATCGCAGTTATAAAACGTTAGTTGGTCTCCAGGGCCATCTCACCAATTACGACCACGACAATCCACAGCCCCTGACGCCAATTCTTAAGCCTAATCGAAAAAGGGCGCGCTCTTCACGCGCGCTCCACTCAACGCCCAAAGACAACGGCAGTGGAGGCGGTGGCGGAGGTGGTGGTAACTCCGAGGGAGAAAATGGTTGCGGCAATGGTAGAAGCACTACAAATCCGGAATCTTTGGTCTCCTACAATGAACAGGAAGGCACGGTTACCTTTAATATCGATGGCAAGAGCGTGCGGTTGGGTATTGATGAACCGCTGCCAATGGTCGATGATGAGGAGTTTGCAGAGTTGGTGGAACGTGGCTGCATATTGAATGCTGATGCGCCTCCGCTGGAGGAGAATGCAGTGTGGGCACAGGTGCAGGTGCCCGTTGCGAATGTCCGGGAGATCGATGACTACAATGTGCCTGATGCGCCGCCCAGGCCCTTGGCCTATTATCGCTTCATTGAGAAGTCGGCCGAGGAACTGGACGGCGAGATAGAATATGATGTCGATGAGGAGGATTCCGCTTGGCTGGAGCATATGAATGATTTGCGCGCCAAGCAAAATCTCACTGCTGTTACTAGGGATACCATGGAGTTGCTAATGGACCGCCTCGAAAAGGAATCTCACTTTCAGGCAGCCGCAAACGGCACGCCCACTGGCGTTGAGGTGGACGACGATGCTGTGTGTTGCATTTGCTTAGATGGCGAGTGTCAAAACACTAACGTGATACTCTTCTGCGACATGTGCAACCTGGCTGTGCATCAGGATTGCTACGGTGTGCCCTATATACCCGAAGGCCAATGGCTGTGCCGTCGTTGCCTTCAATCGCCCAGCAAGGCGGTCAACTGTGTGCTTTGTCCAAATGCTGGCGGAGCATTCAAGCAAACGGATCACGGCCAGTGGGCGCACGTGGTATGCGCATTATGGATACCAGAAGTGCGCTTTGCCAACACCGTGTTTCTGGAGCCAATTGGTAAGCCGCTCAAATACCCTATAAAATAAAGAATAATTTATTAAAATTTCCTTCATTGTCCGGCAGATTCTATTGAGACCATACCGGCTGCTCGGTGGCGCCTCACCTGCTACGTGTGCAAAGAGAAGGGTCGGGGCGCTTGTATACAGTGCCATCGCAACAGCTGCTATGCCGCCTTCCATGTCACCTGCGCCCAGCAGGCGGGCCTCTATATGACCATGGATACGGTCAAGGATGGCCACAATGATAGTTCGGTGCATGTGCAAAAGTTTGCTTACTGCCACGCCCATACGCCCGCCGATGCGAAGCTAAAGACAACAGTGCCCGACTTTGAAGATACGCGCCTAAAAATGCGTGAGGCGCGTAAAGCGCTGGCCAAGAAACGTTCAACGGCGCCTGTGGTGCTAATACCGACAATACCGCCGGATCGTGTTCATGAAATCGCTGGCATGGTGCACATGCAGAAGAAGAAGGAGTTCCTTGATCGCATCATTGCCTATTGGACGTTAAAGCGACATTATCGTAATGGAGTTCCGTTGCTGCGCCGGCTACAGAGTCAGGGCAACAATCATGGGATGATACAACGCAATGGCATCGAAGGCTCACCGGATACGAAGGAACTGTACCGGCAGCTCAAATACTGGCAATGCTTGCGTCAAGATTTGGAGCGAGCGCGTCTGCTCTGTGAGCTGGTGCGCAAGCGTGAGAAACTCAAGGTGGCATTTGTAAAAATCTCTGAGGAAGTTGTAATGCTACAACTAAATCCGCTTGAATCGGCGCTGGGCAAGCTGCTAGATGCGTTGGAAACACGCGATACCATGGAGATATTCAGAGAGCCCGTAAACACTAACGACGTGCCCGACTACATGGACATAGTCAAGCAGCCCATGGATTTGGGCACCATGCGCACGAAGCTGAAGGATTGCCGTTACACAAAACTCGAGCAGCTAGAAGCAGACTTTGATCTAATGATACAGAACTGTCTGGCGTACAACAACAAAGATACAGTGTTCTACAAAGCTGGCATAAGGATGAGAGATCAAGCAGCGCCGCTTTTCGTGCAGCTGCGCAAGGAAATGCAGCGGGACGGTTTGCTGGAGCGTGGGCAACGTATCCATGTGGATCATGTAGAGGGTGAGGTGGAGCAAGAGCTACGACAACTGCTGACGGCGCCGCCCAGCGAGGATGTGGTGCAAAAATTGCTCATACTGGCCGACAAGTCACAGGTGCTCAAGAATCCCAGCTATCGAACGAAGAAGATCAAGCAAATCCGCCTTGAAATCAATCGAATGCGCAAGTCTCTGCAAAAGGCGCGTTTTGCAGCGGTAAGTATTCAATTGTACATACTCCAAATGGATCAGTTGATCAACTGCAATTTCTTTTAGCGCTATACAACGCATTCACAAAGCGATGAAGACAACGATGACACGCGAGTAAAGCCCTCAAAGAAGCGCACGCGCAAACGTCTCAATAGCAGCGCCATGGATTTAGATGAGACGCCGGGTATGCGGCAGATCCAGCAACATGATGATGATGAGGACGACGAGGATGACTCGGATGATGATTCCCTGGCGGACGATAATGCCAGCAAAGACACTGGACATATGGTCCAAACGCCGCCATGCAGTCCTGTCAAAAGTCTCAACAATAGCAGTTCACCCGTGGGCATTAATCGAAGGTGCGTTTGCAGAGTTTGATGATGGTCATAATATTGTCTGTAAGCTTACCATTATAGTGCACATTTCATATAGTCGGATAGTCTAGCCTAGTAGGATCTCAGCTAGTTTAACATAGTCGTTTGTCAGATAGCTATCAATTAGCAATTATCTATAATTCTGTAATAAGTCTTTGGCTATATCTCTATATATATCGTATCTAATTGATGATTTAGTCCAGTGGCTGTTATTAATTTTAATTGTGTAGCAGAAGTTGAAATGGACTTCCCAATAAGTAAATTTTATGCACAGGAAAAATACCGCAAAAACTTATGATTGCCATAAATAAGAAGGCAGAGTTCAGATAAATCTACCCATTTCGGGGCTTTTTGGACTGTCTTCAAAGAGAAGATATTTGGTGCGTCACAAACTGAAGTCGTCTGAATCAGCAAATACTTTCGAAAATTAATTTATGAGAAAAACAAATTAGATAGTATGATAAATATTAGATTTAAATGTATTAAAGGGTATTTTTACGTCTGGTAAATCACGTAATATATTACTCAATTTATAGGGTATCTTATTCATGAATCACTTCTTATTTTCATCTTTCAGAACGGCCATTTTACTGACGCGCAAGTCGCAGGCGGCCTTAAAGCGACCATCCGAGCCTCTGACGACGCCTGTGAAGGAGGAGCATCACAATTCGCAGTCATCGAGCACACAATCCACGAGCGCCAGTTCAAGTTCGACGACAACTGCAGCCACAGCCGCCTCCAGCACGATGAATGCTTCGCTGCATGCGGCTACTGTGACGCCCACAGCCATGAGCAGCTTTGCTTTGGCGACGCACAACAGCACAGTGAGTGCTGTAGGTATGGGCGGGCCAGGTGCTAGTCTCACCTCCACAGCGCTGTCTATTAGCAACAAGTTGAACCTGAGCTTGGGCACAGGTTTGGGCATGTCCAAGTCGCCGAAGCGGCCAGCGCGATATCGACGTTTGCCATCGACGTCACCAAAGAAGTCACCGAATCCAGCGGCGGCAGCAGCAGCGGCGGCGGCAGCAGCAGCATCAACGACGATGACGACGCCGACCACAGCTCAGTCCATAACTGCCTTAGCGTCGGCGGATCCAGCGCTGCCATTTGAGCGCATTCCAGACAGCTTTCGTGTGTACCGGGCTAACAATCAGCGCGATGTTAGCGAAAGCGATGATGCGCCCTCCCAGTCGAGCAGTCCGTGCAGCAGTTGCTCAGATTTCAGCATGACCGGCAGCTGCTCGGACTTCGATAGCGATGAGGCGAGCGATGGCGATGCGCACAGCGAGGACGGTGATTCGGATAGTACGAAAGCGCATGCGATGCGGGATGATTCGCAGGAGGAATGCACCACAGATGCCATGGACTTGCAGCACGCGAGCTTGAATAATGCGCAGGGTAATGGCAACATGGCGATTAGTAGCAGCGACAGCAGCTCCGACAGTGACGACGACGATGATGATGAGGAGGAGGACGATGACGAGGAGGATGAGGAGGAGCAGCAGCAGCTCCAGCTGGATGCTAAAAATGCACGTGTTACGCGCAGCACGCCCACACCATTACAAGGGCGGGGCGGCGCGATGGCAGCTGCCCGTGGGCGTGGCAAGCGGCGCAACAATCTAAGCGAGTCGACAAGTTCAA